GGGAGGGGAGCAAGGGCGAGGGAGAAAGAGGCCTGAAGTTCCTCAGCCCTAAACCCAGGGGGAACAGCGGGTGAGGGGGAGGGAGGGGGGAAGGCGGGGGGGGAAGGGGGGAAGGGGTTCCTAACCCTTAACCTGGGGATGAAGTGGGAGGGGGGGAAGGGGTGAGGAAAGGGGCCTAAAGCTCCTAAACCCTAAGCCGGGGGGGAGGGGGAGGGGGGTGCGTGGGGTGTCATATCTTAACCTGAATGGCAGGATTGGATACTAACAGAAGCGAAGCCCCGATTCCGTCATAAGACTCTTTCCAGGTGCCTGCTCTCACTGTAGCCCATAGCCCCTTCGACCGGCTTGGCCGACTCATCTGCATCCGTGCAGCCGCAGTGTCCAATGGCTGAAAATGCACGTCACAAACGAATTGTAAGTTCACCCGACATTTAGCACATCAACCAATCAATCAATCAATCAATCAATCAACCAATCAACCAATTCACCAAGGGATCGCTTTCATTCATCAGACAATCATAAATCAATTAACCATTTACTTGATATAGCAATCACTCAGTCAATGAACTGATTGGTAGACCAATCAATCAATCAATCAATCAATCAATCAATCAATCCCTCAATTGTCAACTGAGCCCTACAGGGGAGAGCATGCTTATCATATCAGCTTACCTTCTTCCCCCGAATAGAACGTAGGGTCATTATAGCTGTATTTGAGGCACCTTTCAGTCTAGATACAGCTATAATGACCGTACGGCGTACGTTGTATTCGGGGGAAGAAGGTAGGAATGTTATACTATATTAAGGCACTTAAAAAATCGCATTACAGCGTACTTCCTCAGCGAATCCTCACCAACCAGAGTTAAGACTTGTGGGCGTACTTATCTTTCCTTTAGAGCGTACTCAGACTTGGAGTTTTTCAAGTGTATATTGCGATTAAGGTCATGTTATTAAAAAAAAAAAAAAAAAAAAAAAAAAAAAGGCCAGATTTCGTCCAGAAGGAGGTCCTACTGTGAATATGCCCTCACTTAACTTTTTTGTGCTTCGCGTAATTATTTATTGACTGGTTGATTCAACTTGATTGACTTCAGGGCATTCGCACTTTCTGTACTGAATCTGGTCACAATTACGACCAAATCCATTCGAGAAAGTCCTGGTGTGATGATGCCCTTAGGGAACTCTCTGGCTGACTTCACTGCTGTAATTCACCAAAGGCCATTGACTAGCTGCGGCACCATGAATTTTTTCAGACAACACGTCCAGATTCACGTTTTCTAAGTTCTAACTTTTCTTACTTTCTCTCTCTCCCATGCGCACACTGTGCTCATGTTTCCCATAGTTTGGCCAAAACAGACCTTTCCAAACTGAAGACCGGAAAAAAAAAAAAAAAAAAAAAAAAAAAAAAAAAAAAAA